TTATGGATTTCTTTTATTCCTGACTTTGTGTAATTAAGTTCTTCCGGTGGGGTTGAGACCCATCGTGTTATATCGAGGATGGTCGAAAAAGAAAAAAAAAAGAAAGCATCGTGCGATATTATCGTGCGTTATTATTAAATTAATTATTTAATAAACTTCGTCTGAATGATACAAAATATGTATTGCTTATTATTTCTTAAGAGAAAAATATGTTAATTACGTTTGAAAAACTTTATAAAATATTCATTATAAATCTTTCTCGTATCTGAACGTTCCTTTGCGACGAAGGAAAATAAATAAAATAAACGACGCTCGAAGCAAAAATATGCAGAAGAGATATTGAAACGTATAAAGTAGCTTAATTAAATACGGAGAAACGTTGGAAGAGCGATATAAATTATTTAGCGTTATATGGTTAAAATATCAGAATAGTATATCATATAACAAAATAACGTAATTTATGATTTATTAATATTTTCAATGAAATATAATTTAATATGTGACCTAAGCAAAATTTATTTCTTCTTTATAGCGTTTTAGTCTTTTGTATCTGGATATATAAAATACAGAAAATAACGGAAAATTATAATCTTCTTACCAATTCATAAGAATGAAATATTCAAATAATTGCAACGCGCCATCTGACGTATTACTACGCAACTCTTTTGATCGTAGATACCAACTGAGGTTACAACATAGCAAATCTTTTTGATTTTCGATTTTATTGGTACATGTAGATAGAGTTACTATCCTATATAATTTCTAGCCTTTAACTCTCTTAGAGAGAGTATCTTCTCTAATAATATGAACTAGTATGAAGTAATCATCTCGCGGATGGGGGAGTACACTGTACACAACACCACGCGTCATATATGGTCAGATGTTCGGTTATACTTATTGCAATGCAATAAAATTATTATATTCAACATTGTGTGTTATTTTGTGAACTGATGTACGCTGCGGATTTCGAATCTCGTTACTAATCCGTCTAATAAGTGCAACGAAGTAATGTGTAGTTTTTATGTCAGCGTTGCTTGTGTGTGGAATTATGGTTATATTTAGTATATGACGACTACGGTGTTTTGAAGCACGAAGCACTGCCACTCCTTCCGTTATAATATTTTTACAATTTTTTTATTTTATTTGTAAGTGAAAAAAATGGAAGATATATTTCAATGGTGTCGTGAAGGAAATGCCATGCAAGTACGTGTTTGGCTGGATGACACCGAACATGACATGAATCAAGGGTAAATATAGGAAAATTCCATTTTCCGAGAAGCACCGTCTCCTGTTCTCGTTTTTTTATTATTTTTTTTTATAACCGTTACTGGTCTCTGTTCTTTTTAACACCGGTCTTTCGAATGTATTTTTGTTGTTGTTTAAAGTTTTTTATCTGGATTTAAATTATAATAATAATAATTTAAAAAATATATATTGTTTTTCCTAATCCTTGTTATCATCCCATTGTATCCGTTTTTATACTTCTTATTTATTTAATTATATTAAACTGTAACATTAGTCTGATTTCATTTATGATTTCATGTTCTATGTATAGAGATGATCATGGGTTCAGTCCACTCCATTGGTGTTGTAAAGAGGGACACTTGAAATTGGCTGAGTTGTTAGTTAGCAGAGGAGCACGTATTAATGCAACTAACAGAGGCGATGATACTCCTCTTCATCTTGCTTCTGCCCATGGGCACAAAGAAATAGTTCAATTGGTAAGCCAAATATAATTGATTGTATGTTAAAATGATAAGATAGGAATATACTCACGTATTGAAAAATTTTGTAACATAAAGGAACAATCCATGTTGGAGAGTCAAGTACAGAAATAAAAATAATTCTTTATTTTTAAGAATTTAATGGAATTTATTTTTATAGTTACTTAGGAACCGAGCAGATGTCAATGTCACAAATGAGCATGGTAACACTGCCCTTCATTATGCGTGCTTTTGGGGCGATCAAGCAGTTGCCGAAGAATTGGTAACTGCTGGTGCTTTGGTATCAATTGCAAACAAAGATGGTGATACTCCGTTAGATAAAGCACGAGGCCATTTGGCCAAAAGATTACACGGTATTTAATAATTGTTAAGGAGTTATTGATATATGATACGTTGTTTGCGGATTTGTAATATATGAACTATTATATTGCCAAATTGATTTTTTAGATTTAGCTGTAGAATATGGACAGGACTTAAAAAAGATTCAGTTTAAAGATCAAAGCTGGCTAGGTTTGAAAACTAGAAGTCGTGAGTAACATTGTATTATACGTATTCTATTACATTTAAGAATTAATTAACTAATTAGTAACTGTTAATTACTAATGTCTAGTTATATCATTTAGGTGATGCAACGCTATCAAGGCATAAAGGAATAAACATGGCAGATCTTTCTCTGCATACTCATTTAGCTAGTACGCCAAGTGGTGAAACATGGCGTGGACGTTGGCAAAACAATGACATTGTGGCAAAAATATTGAATATACGTGAGTGTACGGCTCGAATTTCAAGAGACTTTAACGAAGAATTCCCAAAATTAAGAATTTTTTCACATCCCAATGTACTACCTGTACTTGGTTGTGTCAATCAACCACCGCAATTGGCAACCGTCTCGCAATATATGGCACGTGGGAGTTTGCATAGGCTTTTACATGGAGGTACAGGCGTCGTTGTTGACACTGCTCGTGCACTTAGACTTGCCCTCGATGTCGCGAGAGCTATGGCATTTCTTCATGGGCTCGAAAGGCAAAATAGATGTAGATTTCATCTTAATAGTAAACATATTATGGTATTTTCATTCGTCTTTATAATGATATAATATTATTATGTAAGAATTTCGGTAATGAATATATTCGATATTCGTATAGATTGATGAAGATTTAACAGCTCGCGTGAACATGGCGGATTCGAAATTTTCATTTCAAGAGGTGGGTCGAATCTACGAACCAGCGTGGATGTCTCCGGAAGCATTAAGTAAACGTCCGGCGGATATAAATCTCGAGGCCAGTGATATGTGGAGTTTTGCCGTCCTGTTATGGGAACTTGCGACAAGAGAAGTTCCGTTTGCAGATCTTTCGCCGATGGAATGCGGCATGAAAGTTCGTTAAGATTTGTACATCGTTCATTTAACATAAGTCGGTAATTTAGTGATTATATTCATTTTTCGTGTATTTGTTGTAGATTGCACTAGAGGATTTACGTGTTAGTATACCTCCAGGAATTTCACCGCATCTTGCTAAGCTTATTAGAATTTGTATGAACGAAGATCCAGGGAAACGTCCGTCTTTTGATATGGTCGTTCCTATACTCGATAAAATGAAACGCTAATTTTTGATATAATTTTTCTGTTTATTGCAAGAATCGTGGCTTGCGTCCAAACATGTGTTTCATTGCGAATGCGATTAATCAAAGATTGTTGCAAATTAGTTTACTTAACGATTGGTTCGGATTTGTGATAAAGTAAATCGAAGCAAAAAGAGCGATTCTCATTTGAATTGCGAAGAAGCACATAGTTATACTTGACGAAATGTTTCGAAAAACTGTATCTGCTAATCGGTATCAGCATATAGAACAAAAATGATAAGGACCATTTATAGAATTGATCGAAGTAAGTAATGTGCTAATTGATTTTTGGCAATTTCAAGCAATGCATTTTATTATTATCCAGCTGCAAAACCGGTATTCTTGTAAGAATGTCACTACTACTAAATTTTTTCGATACAAATTGTTTTTTATCGAATACATTCTTTACTAGTAAATCTATTATTATTTTTACTATTATTTTTCGACGCTTGAACACAACTCGCAATGAATACAATCTAGCAGAAAAATCTTCGAATATTTTTTATAAACTGGTAAATAGTTTCAGAAATGGACACTCGCTAAACGAAGTGTCATTTGTATGAGTTATTCGTTATTGTTTTCTTGTCGATAGATTTTAATAGAGATAATCGAAGTTGGTTAATGAAAAATAATCTTTATTAACTATTTTAAGCTAGAAATCTTTTGGGCAGAATTTGTACGATAATTAAATGATAAAAAATACACATTAATTTATATTTGATGAAACATACTGAATTCTTCGAAACGTAAAGTTTCCGAATTGTTGTATCCTCGCCGGTATCTATGCTCTTGAAGTATATTGTCAGATCACCATTCTAAACAATCTTTTCTCATATGTACATATATAGGGTGGTCGGTTTCACGTTACGAGTTACGCACAAAAGTATATTTGGTATATAAAAAGTATATCATATATGTACTTTGCTTCTATTTTTTATACAAAATTGAAGATTAGATATTATAATTATTGTTTGTACATGCGCATGTTTGTTCAAATTATAATTGTACTGATCTAGTCGCGCCATTATTGATATTGTCCATCCGGACCGCCAGCAGTTAAATACTCCTTCACATATGGAGTTCAGTGAATGGAATTTTTATTAGTTTTATCATTGTTTGTGTCACCGTGAAGATACTAAAACAGTACAATTAAAATTCATGAGGAGGTTACACAGAAGGTTATCGACAGAGTAACCTTCAAGCGGTATATATAATACGAAATATACTTTAGCGTATAATTAGAAAATTAAAACCAACCACCCGTTGTATGCATACGAAAAATTTATTTAAAATGGTGACGTTGACAATAGGATTTAAGGGCATCAGAATCTGTGAAGTGGCAACATAGCCCTTCGAAAAATTCGTAGCAAAATTTAGAAAAGATCTGAAAATGTCAGAATAAGGAATATATGCATCGATTTCTAAAATAACTTTTTACTATTTACTAGATAATTTTTGATATAATTTTTCTTATATCCTTAATTAAAAACCATTTTCATTCCCAAAGAAACCTAATTAAACGTAATCAAATTGCACTTACTAATTGCATTAGGAAATGCAGCCTCAACTGATCTGCCTTTATTAAAATAACTAAACTATATTTTTTATACAATCGTATTTAAAGAAATAATGTGCCTACGAAAATCTTCCACAATATTTGTTCATATATAGTGAGCAAGTTTATTGTTGTCTGTTATTTATACAATTTTCATATATTCCTATTGTCTATAATCATATTCACATTTTCTAAATAGATATCGACTCGTCTTTTTATACATGTATAATATGATCGATTTTATAATATCGTTAATTCTGTTGATACATTCTGCTGCACGGAATGTTAATTATAATTAATACTTGATGTGGCTATTACTTTATCTGTCATCTCACTCTGAATATGGCCAGCATATGTGGCATCAATATCACAAGTTAGATCTTATAACCTCTGACATATTGTATCTTAAAATAAAGATAAATAAAACTCTGCAATACATAAATAGTGACTAAAGTTATTTACAATATATTTTCTTATATTTCAAATATGATTTATTCGTTGAAATAAATAACTAAGGTCAGTAATAAGTTTCTTTCCCAATTTATCGTCGGTATGGTGGAGAGAAAAAGTTATATTCTCATACATATCATGTTTTATGCTCACGGACAAAAACCATTTAGTTGGTACGCTAAGTGCTGAAACATATCGGCAAAAAATTTGAATATACAACGATTTTTATAAGTATCGCTGTTTGTGGATAATATTTTAACCAATTTGTAATCAATATCATGATAAGCACCGTTCAGATATACTTTAAGGTGCAACTTTTGATAACAGATATTTAAGTCTAATGAACTGCTTGATAATACTGTTTGATATGATAAGAGTACAAACACGAGTCGCTCTAAATACTCGGATTCTGAATGTAGAAAGGAGTGGCAGTATCAAGTTGGCAAGACTTTGCTTAACAATGAGCAAACCGATAGTACTCGTAAAACAAGGTAAATTGGAAGGCGCGGTACTGAAAAGTGCCCTAGGATTATCATATATCGGCTTCAAAGGAATACCTTTTGCTGCTCCTCCTATCGGAAATCTCAGATTTAAGGTACATTTCTGATAATTGTCCTTATCATGCATTTACTTCATTACGACATATTAAATATCACACCAACCATGACATTGTAAAATTGTAGAGTTCCAATTATCTTAATTTATACAATTCGAAATAACTTCCTATTACCCATTAATAAAAGACGATTAATAGAAGTAGTGCACACAATGTGATGCGTTACGTAGGTTATATTCACTTATTATAAAGGAATCTTAATTTTTTTGCGAAAATAGGATCCTCAACCACCTGCACCATGGGCTGGTATCAAGGATACATCCAAAGCCAAAAAATACATCTGTCCACAATTGCAAGAAGTTCCGCCTTTCGATGTTATTGGTGACGAGGATTGTCTTTACTTAAATGTTTATACGAATTCTCTCAATCAATCGAAACCGGTTATGTTCTGGATACATGGAGGAGCATTCATACTAGGAAATTCGAGCTTCTACGAATCGAGGCCCGATTATTTACTCGCTAAAGATGTTGTAGTTGTCTCAGCTAACTACAGGCTTGGCGCATTCGGTTAGTTTTGGTTCAGTTTTACATACATTCGCAAAATATCAAAAAAGAGATTGTGCATGCAATTTAGAAACAAAATTTTTACTTTACGAATAAACAGAAAGGCTCTAGAATTATCCAGTTTTTTTAAATTTCAAGGATTTTTAAATTTGGGTCACCGAGTCGCGCCAGGAAATCTAGGCTTAAAAGATTTAATCGCAGCTCTAGAATGGGTGAAGGAAAATATTGCCAACTTTGGCGGAGATTCCAATAATGTTACGATTTTTGGAGTTAGTGCTGGAGGTGCTCTAGTACATTCCTTACTCGTATCGCCTCGCGCGAAAGGTAAAACGTATTTTCGTTACGTCCTTGATAAAATTAAATCATATCTTTGTGATTTGCCGAGATATATTGGACTTTCCAAAAGATCTGTGTTAATCCCGTTAGTTCGATACTGATTTTAGGACTGTTTCACAAGGCGATTTTGCACAGTGGAACGTTGACATGCCCTTGGGCAAGCCGAGGTGCTGAATATCGTCCTAAACGTGGTTTTAAACTCGCTTCACTTCTTGGAAAAGATTCTAATGATCCTGTCGAAGTTGTCGAATTTTTACGGACGGTGCCCGCTGAGGACATCGTGAAGGCTCAAGCCTCTCTGTTATCTCCAGAGGTAACAAGTTTTCTTTTAACATACTTCATAATTATAATGAAATATCGGAGATTGAAATAAACAGGATTTCTTATTTCGTCTTATAGAAAGAGGAGACTAGTACCCTTGCTTTTGGACTCGATTACGACGAAGTGGCGGAGAATCCTGTTTTACCAAAACCGATCGAACAATTAATTGCAAAAGAAGCAGATGTGCCTGTGATAATTAGTTACACCGCTCAGGAATATATTATGTTCTTGAAAGGTAGGTTCAGTTAAAACTCGAAGAAAGAAAAGTATTATTTCCTGTTCATGCATCGATACTATATGATTTTTGTATTTCTCAGATAAAAGCGAAAAATCAATCAATTCTTTTAACCAGAATCTGTATAACCATTTGAAAACTTTGAGATCATTGAAGACGATAGAGGATGCAGAAATGGAAAAATTGTTCGAGCTGGTGAAAAATCAGTATTTCGGTGGAAAACCGATTAGCGAAGAAAACATAAGCGAATATTCAGAATTGCTTACTCTTATTAATTTCGGCATTCCCGCGATGATGCTGTTAGAGGATCGAGTAAAAAGAACAACCGCGCCTAGTTATTTCTGTGTATTTTCGTACATTGGCAATGAAAAAGCCCCGACGGATCTCCTAGTAACACGACTGTTTTCTGGTAACTGCATTTTTTAAATTTATTATCGCATAATTATCAGATTATGTACACAACTATCAAACGCACTATTTACTCTCTTACACTCTAGGAGCGTCTCATGTAGATGACATCGCGTATTTATTATATTTACCCAGATGTAAAACTGACAATCCTGATCCACCAACGGTTGGTACGAAGGATAGGATTACGTTAGAACGAATGACTAGAATGTGGACTAATTTTGCCAGAACTGGGTAAATTTTCAACGTGATTTTAAAAAGCATGAATTTGAATTATAGAATTTATATATCGTATATGTTTAATATAGGAATCCTACCTCGGTCAAAGATGAGTTTGTCAACGTTGATTGGAAGCCTGCAACGACGAAGGAGCTTTGTCATTTAAAAATTGACGATGAATTACAGTTGCTGTCTCTACCACCACACCTTTTATCCTCTAAATAGGTCTCATCAATTGTTTTTTGCTTTAACGAAGATCAATTTGCAATTTTTCTTACGACGACAAATTATCAAAAAATATTTTCATCTCAGAGGAACGTATTAAAACGTGATAAAAAATGTAATCTTAATCTATCTGGGTGTTAGATTATCTCGATGTCTTCACTGAAATGACGGAATTATATTTTTTATATAATTGTACTTATAGAAACAATGTCCGTCTGAATATTGTTTCCACATTTATATAATATATTGTATTCATATATAGTAAGCAGATTTATTATATAATGTATTGTATAATTTTTATGTATTTTTACTACCCATAATTACATATTCATATTTCCTAAATGACTATTAACTCATCTTTTTGCATATATTACAATGTAATTATTGATTCTATTTATAATATTCTGGTTTATTAAATATTAATTATAATTAATACTTAACGTTATGGTTACTTTTTATGCGAGATCAAAATAACATATAGGAACCTACGTCACTGCACTTCACGACAGGTGGAAGAATCATTGTTTATCGCATTGCAAACACAACTGAACTGACGTAATACGTCCAAATCAGTAATCCGAAAGACAGTGCGATCTCGTACGAAAAACGAAGGTCCACTTTTCCAATGATAATATCCCAATACGTATCGTAAATAAAGCATCGTAAATTTTTCTTTCTGAATGAACTCTCCATCACTACCTTGTCATATGTTAGCCATTTTGAGGCAAGAAATTAAAACAGTTTTGGAAGAACAGACTTATATACCCATCGATGGTGTCTATAGCAATATAATTGCACCACTGCATTTTCCATATGTATAATTCACTATAGTGGAAGTCGCATAAAACACTTTATTATTAATCTAAAACAATTACTCCATTAATTTTTAACAATTATACTCTTAATTTATAACAATATGCTTGCCTGAATTAAAAAAAATTATGCTCTTAATTTATAATAGTTATATCGTTCGACTATAATAATGCAGTTATTTTCATCATAAACTGGCATTCAATGCAATTAATTCAATGTAAATTAACACAGTTCTAAATCAAAAACTAGTATTACAGAAATGAGAATTTAATTTTAGCTTGTAAAAATTATTATAATTATAAAAATGGTTATTGCAATAAATCGTTAAAGACGTCAACCTACAATAGAAATTAAAGAATTAATCGAAGAACAGCTTTTACAAATTACATTAACAATTTATTACATTTAAACTATTGCCTTATAACACAAAATATTAAACAACAACAATTAAATTATTGCTTTATAATATTTAAACCATTAATTAATAACATTTAAACTACTAATTTATAACATTTAAGCTATTAAATTATAAAATATAAGCCATCAGTTTAGAACTTTTAAATTATTAATTAACAACATTTAAACGATTACTTAATAACATTTAAACCATTAATTTATAACAATTAAACCATTAACTTATAACATTGAAACCATTAATTTATTAAATAATTAAAGGCGTCAATTTACAGTAAAAATTAAAAAAATATTAAATTTGATCGTGTTATAATGGAAAAACCGCCTTTCATAACAACAGCAAACCGTTACCGTCCGATTCACCTTCAGATACCTTTGCAAATACATGCCATCAGGTATATATGCGACGCGAAACTCGCGCGCGAGCTCATTTGCGAGTGGTCTCCCGTACCGTAAAGATCGAAGAATAGTTTTTATAAATTACAATAACAATCTATAACATTTAAACTATTACGTTATAACGCTTAAACTAGTAATCAACAACATTTAAGCTATTACTTTATAATATTTAAGCCTTTAATTTATAACATTTAAACCATTAATTTATAACATTTAAACTAATAATTTATATCATCTGAGCCATTAATTTGTAACATTTAAGCCATTAATTTATAACATTTAAACTACTAATTTATAACATTTAAGCTATTAAATTATAAAATATAAGCCATCAGTTTAGAACTTTTAAATTATTAATTAACAACATTTAAACGATTACTTAATAACATTTAAACCATTAATTTATAACAATTAAACCATTAACTTATAACATTGAAACCATTAATTTATTAAATAATTAAAGGCGTCAATTTACAGTAAAAATTAAAAAAATATTAAATTTGATCGTGTTATAATGGAAAAACCGCCTTTCATAACAACAGCAAACCGTTACCGTCCGATTCACCTTCAGATACCTTTGCAAATACATGCCATCAGGTATATATGCGACGCGAAACTCGCGCGCGAGCTCATTTGCGAGTGGTCTCCCGTACCGTAAAGATCGAAGAATAGTTTTTATAAATTACAATAACAATCTATAACATTTAAACTATTACGTTATAACGCTTAAACTAGTAATCAACAACATTTAAGCTATTACTTTATAATATTTAAGCCTTTAATTTATAACATTTAAACTATTAATTTATAACATTTAAACTAATAATTTATATCATCTGAGCCATTAATTTGTAACATTTAAGCCATTAATTTATAACATTTAAACTACTAATTTATAACATTTAAGCTATTAAATTATAAAATATAAGCCATCAGTTTAGAACTTTTAAATTATTAATTAACAACATTTAAACGATTACTTAATAACATTTAAACCATTAATTTATAACAATTAAACCATTAACTTATAACATTGAAACCATTAATTTATTAAATAATTAAAGGCGTCAATTTACAGTAAAAATTAAAAAAATATTAAATTTGATCGTGTTATAATGGAAAAACCGCCTTTCATAACAACAGCAAACCGTTACCGTCCGATTCACCTTCAGATACCTTTGCAAATACATGCCATCAGGTATATATGCGACGCGAAACTCGCGCGCGAGCTCATTTGCGAGTGGTCTCCCGTACCGTAAAGATCGAAGAATAGTTTTTATAAATTACAATAACAATCTATAACATTTAAACTATTACGTTATAACGCTTAAACTAGTAATCAACAACATTTAAGCTATTACTTTATAATATTTAAGCCTTTAATTTATAACATTTAAACTATTAATTTATAACATTTAAACTAATAATTTATATCATCTGAGCCATTAATTTGTAACATTTAAGCCATTAATTTATAACATTTAAACTACTAATTTATAACATTTAAGCTATTAAATTATAAAATATAAGCCATCAGTTTAGAACTTTTAAATTATTAATTAACAACTATTACTTTATAATATTTAAGCCACTAATTTATAACATTTCAGTTATTAATTAACAATATTTATACTATTATTTTATATCATTTAAGCTTTCAATTTATAACATTTAAGCCATTAATTTATTAAATTGTTAAAGGCGTCAATTTGCAATAAAAATTAAAAAATTGTTATTTGATCGTGTTATAAAGGAAAAGCCGGCTTTCGCAACAACAGCAAACCGTTATCATTCGATGCACCTTCGGTCACCTTCATAAAGATCGAAGAATAGTTTTTACAAATTACAGTAACAATCTATAACATTTAAACTATTACCTTATAGCACTTAAACTATTAATCAACAGCATTTAAACTATTACTTTATAACGTTTAAGCCATTAATTTATAACATTTTCGTATTCTAATAACGAACAGTATAATTGTTGCAGACGAATTTCTAAGTGTAAAGGAATAGCGGTATTTTCTAAATAAACATTCGATAAAGAAAAGAAGAAAATCGTCGAAACGATATTTAGCTTCTTTTCCACCACGCTCCCCCACCCACCCTGCCATAAACAGCTTTATTTTCAGGGAATATTTGTAACCGCGCGCAATGCGGTTTATAGAGTCAGTGTTTGCTACGCGATAGTTTCCTTTCAATATTTTAAAATCGCGATAATTTTGATTAAAGTCGCGGAAACGTAGTCTTAATCTTAACAGTCTACTTTTGAACATTCGTTTCCGGTATTAGAGTCAGTGCATCTCTCAAGAGGATAAAGCCTCTCCAGTGGCTGAAGAATGTAAGCAGTTTTATATCATGTATTTTAATTTGTTCGATTCTTTGTATTTCGTTTGAATTATTTTTAATTAGAAAATAAAAATGATCGATAATTTAGAAAGCTTTGCATGTTTTTTTTTAATTGGAATAAACTGTTAAAATGTTAACATTCGATTACAATAACATTGTCTCTGATATGCAACGAAAATCACTGAATTTTCAATTTTTTTATTTCAAACTTTTATATCAGAGTTTCATTTTGCTACGTACTTATTACGGTCTTTTAGAATTTCAATCTCTATCATTACTAAAGATACAAATTTAATCAACTTCCATTTTTCATTATCTCCGATTTTTCAAACGATCACTCATCGTGTTCTCTTCTGTAATAGATTTTTCGCAACCTCCACTTCCACCATTGGACGGTTCCTGCCTGATGTTAGTCTCCCTGATGATATTCGCTGGGGTGGTGCAGCATCGAACGGTGAGTCGCATGCATTTTTGTTCCTCCGGTCACTCAATCATGTCGTAGGATGAAAGGTCCGAATCGGCACGGGTGACTGGTTGTATTACGTAGAATTTTTTGCGAGCATAGTGACCGCGGGTATTTCTTATACCCGCGAGTAGTAACACTCATTTTTTCAAATTTATTAGTTTAGGATAGGTCTTCTTGCACATCGCGATTATAATAACTAGTTTTTTAATAATTAGGTTAAACATATACACTTGAGAATATATTCGTGTTATTTATAAATATGCATGTTAATATTCCATATGAATATTTGCAAATGGCAAATATCTACACGAATATATCTGTATGACATGAATATGCTTGATCGTAAGCAATGAATTTATCGTGACAATATCAAGTCACGTTCGTTTATTTCATTTCGATTCGAATTTAAAATATGAGTCAAAATTCATTTTTTTCCCGTACAAGAATGTGTGAAATTTTACGTGCAAGAAGACACTTCGCGACAGGCAGATTTTTGAATCAAAGCAATAATTTTGAACACTGCTTCTGCACTTTCGAGTATATGCTTTGATAAAGAGATCGCCTGAGATTATTTGTTTCTTAGTAATATATTTAGAGTCAATTATTTCATTTGATCGAGTCTCAGTCTTTTTCAATTAACGCTACCTTTTTTACAATATTGAAGTTTTGTTGTGATTTATTAAACTAATAAAG